TGACAGACATTGACCCCATTCTGCATACAGCACACACCACAACTCACAGTCCATGAAGCATGCCGCACTACGGTATATACTATTGAGGAGGAGCACTTCAAGAAATGTCTGGCTAAGATGTTCCAAAGTGACCAGTGATTCTGGGTACCCAACTCAAGGCATCTTAAAGGGGCCTGATTTTCAGAGGGTGGGGTGCTCAGCACTGTCTGAAAATACAGCACCCAAAGTCACTAGTCTCTTTTGCAAAACATGGCTTCCAAGCTTTGCCCTCCCAAATTCACATGCTTTTCTGAGATGGTTGGGCCCGCATCCTATCAGAAATCTTATGATGTCAGATCTTCCCACACAAATCTTGGTTTCGGTCAGATTGCAGATGCTGCAACAGACCAGGAAAATCTTTCCACTAGATGACATCACTTCCTGTCCCACCCACCAACAGACAGGAAGCGTAAAGGCATGCCACGGTTTCAGACCTCAAGAACAAAAAAGCCAAGTGATTCAAGCTGACATCTTAAGTGAAGGTTACATATGTGCCCATCCCTAGTACATACCGTGTCCTGAAGCCACTCAAGCACACGGCATAATGCACACGATATACTGCATCCTGTGTTTGCTGAAGCATGCCGCGAATAGTGCACAGTTATAACAGAATCAACCTGCTGTGGGTTCAGAAAGAGCTTTGGATTCAAACCAGGCAGTTTTATTTTCCTCTAAGGGACTCTCCTTATGAGAACGTCTGAGCAACAAAGCACACTAGGCCTGTCTAGGTACGTTCCTCTCAGCCCACTGGCTATGGTTCCACCAGGACTTCCAAGAATCTGACTCTCATCCCACTGGGCACAGCTTCCCACCTGCCTTTCCTGGAACCTTACCCTAGCTCACTGGCAAGAACGTCACCAGCTCTTCCTAGACTGGCTCGGACCATGCACCAATTCCAGTATCTGCTGGATTTTTAGCCTATATCCTGCAGGTCTACATGCAGGTCTACATCCTGCAGGTCTACATGTGTGAGGCTCTGCAGACAAGCCATGTATCCATAGGCACTTAACATGGATCTATAAGGTTCTACAAGTTCTGCTGCAGAGGATGCATGCTGCCTGCCTGCAGGCACTTAGCAGAAGTCCCCAAGACTCTCCGGGTGACTGTTCAAATGTGTACAGGGACACAGTGCGTCCACATAGACACTTGTGTTGCGTAACGGAGTCTATAATGGCTGTATTGGAGGATGAATATCCACAGGCACTTAACACAAGTCTATAGGGCTCCAGGGGCCCTGCTCTGAAGGACTATTCCTGTTCATAGGCACATAATAATGGTTACTTGGAGGCAGCCCTCGCCTTGGTTTAACATGGCAAAACGGACACTCCCATCGCTCGTCCTGCAGCCCCCACTCACTGAAAGAGCCACAGAAAATCCTGGCCGCTCACCTCCCCCCGAGACCCTGCATTTATGCCACTGACATTTGCAAGAGCTCCCCTTGCTGGACGGCTATCTCGGGGCAGTGGTTAGTCGTTCCCTCTCCTGCTACCAAATATACGGGAAAGGGAACATGGGCTAGGGACATCCCTTTCCCCTGTTCTTCACTGACTCTCCTGACTGCCAGGGGCTGGGGATCGCCCATCTCAAAAGGGGAAAGAGGTGCTGCCCTCTCTCCCCCACTTTCTCTCACTCGCTTTCTTTACCATCACATGCAAATGTCACTTCCTACTGGCACTTCTCATTGTCAGCTGGGGAGCTGCCTACACCCTGGAGATCATCTCACTCCCATCACAGACTCGCGCTTGCCCCAGAGCTGTACCCTATGGTCACGTTCACACTCAGTACCCTATGATCCAATTCACGAGCTCTTTCCTTCTCAGGGAGTTGGCAGGTTGAGTTTTCCCTTGTGATTTTAGGTCCTGGCCCAGCACCAGTCCCCAGGGTTTGAAGTCAAGGGGGCTGTGTGCGCGTGCGCGCAGGGGTCCCACCTGCGCAGCTCTCAGTGCAGAATCAGGGCTGGAGATGGGGCCTGATCTATACAGCCTGGATCTCAGCACTCCTGAACTTTGAGGATTGGGATCCAGACATTACTAATAAAAGAAAGATATTACATCATTCTCCAGTAATGGCCCCAAACACTACCATTTGCTGTAGCCTTCCTGCAACACTTAGGGCAGTTACTGGGGTATAATGTGGTATCATTACTAGAGCTGTCAATTAATTGCCGTTAACTCATGCAATTAACTCAAAAAAATTAATCGCACTGTTAAACAATAGAATACTAATTGAAATGTATTAAATATTTTTGGATGTTTTTCTACATTTTCAAATATATCGATTTCCATTACAATGCAAAATGTAAAATGTACAGCGATCATTTTATATTATTTGTATTACAAATATTTGCACTGTAAGAATGATAAAAGAAATAGTATTTTTCAATTCATCTCATACAAATACTGTAGTGTAATCTCTATCGTGGAAGTGCAACTTTCAAATGTAGTTTTTTTGATTACATAACTGCACTCAAAAACAACAGTGTAAAACTTTAGAGCCTACAAGTCCACTCAGTCCTACTTCCCGTTCAGCCAATCACTAAGCGAAACAAGTTTGTTAACATGTATGGGAGATATTGCTGCCCACAACACTTTCATTGCAAATTTGACAAAATGCAAAGAAGATACCAATGTAAAATTTCTAAAGATAGCTAGCACTTGATCCTAGATTAAAGAATCTGAAGTGCCTTCTAAAATCTGAGAGGGATGGAGGTGTGGAGAATGTTTTCAGAAGTCTTAAAAGAGCAACACTCTGATGCGGAAACTACAGAACCCAAAACACCAAAAAAGAAAATCAACCTTCTGCTAGTGGCATCTGACTCAGATGATGAAATGAACATGTGTCGGTCCGCACTGCTTTGGATCGTTATCGAGCAGAACCCGTCATCAGCATGGACGCATGTCCTCTGGAACGGTGGCTGAAGCATCAAGGGACATGTGAATCTTTAGCACATCTGGCATGTAAATATCTTGCGACGCCGGCTACAACAGTGCCATGCAAATGCGTGTTCTCACTTTCAGGTGACATTGTAAACAAGAAGCAGGCAGCATTATCTTCTGCAAATGTAAACAAACTTGTTTGTCTGAGCCACTGGCTGAACAAGAAATAGGACTGATTGGACTTGTAGGCTCTAAACCAGGGGCGGCAAACTTTTTGGCCTGAGGGCCACATCGGGTTTCTGAAATTGTATGGACGGCCAGTTAGGGGAGACTGTGCCTCCCCAAACAGCCAGGTGTGGCCCGGCCCCTGCCCCCTATCCAACCCCCCCGTTCCCTGATGGCCCCACTCCAGGACCCTTGGTCCCATCCACCCCTCCCTGTCCCCTGACTGCCCTCCACAGCCCCATCCAACCCCTCCTCTCATTCCTGACTGACCCCCCGGGACTCCTGCCCCCATTCAACCCCAATGTTCCCCACCCTCTGACCGCCCCGACCTCCCCTGCCCTTTATCCAACCCCCTCTGCTCCCCGCCCCCGACCACGCTGCCTGGAGCGCCGATGGCTGGCAGGGCTACAGCGCACCACCCAGAGCACCAGGACAAGCAGCTGCGCCACCCGACTGGAGCCAGCCACGCCACCGTGCAGCACAAAGCACCAGGTCAGCCCGCAGCTCTGCAGCTGCGCTACCCGGAAAGACCTCGCAGTCCCGCCGCCCTGAGCATTGCACCGGCAGCGCAGTGAGCTGAGGCTGCGGGTGAGGGGGAACAGCAGGGGAGGGGTTGGGGGCCAGCCTCCCGGGCCAGGATCTCAGGGGCTGGGCAGGAGGGTCCCGCGGGCCGGTTGTGGCCCGCGGGCCGTAGTTTGCCCACCTCTGCTCTAAACTAAAGTTTCACATTGTTTTATTTTTGAATGCAGGGTATTTTTTGTGCATAATTATATATTTGTAAGTTCAACTTTCATGCTAAAGAGATTGCACTACAGTACTTGTATTAGGTGAACTGAAAAATACTATTTGTTTTTTACAGTGCAAACATCTGTAATCAAAAATAAATATCAAGTGAGCACTGTACACTTTGTATTCTGTGTGGTAATCCAAATCAATATATTTGAAAATGTTGAAAACATCCACAAATATTTAAAGAAATGGTATTCTGTTATTGTTTAACAGTGCAATTAATTGCATGATTAATTATGCGGTTAAATTTTTTAATCGCTTGACAACCCTAATCATTATTAAAGATTTCCCCATCTTCCCCACATGCCCCTTAGGCTCTTACTGTAGAATACTGTTGTCTATTCTTTTAAATAGAAGTGATCTCCCCCCCCCCCCCGCAACCTCCTCCTCTTCCCCACCCCAATTCCCCTTGTGGCTGTGCCGACATCAACAGCACTGAGAAAGCAGAAAACAATTCAGCTACAAAGCTGTGCAAAGAAACTCCTCGGGGGGGGGGGGGGGGTAGGGGGTAGGGATGGACTCTTAGAAGCCAAAGAGCCCTGGCTAAGATTCTGGCAATCGTTACCAATGTACAATCATCCTCCTGCTTCACACCAGGGTGGCTGCCCTGTTACCCAGTCTCTACGCGTGGGCCCAGATACAGGTTTATATTAAGGATCCAAAAGACACGGTATAAAGACCGATTTGCCTTCTGTCTGAAAAGCCCCAGCTCCGAATTATGACGACACGAATGGGGTCAGGAGCCAGTGCTGGTCATTTTGAAGGAGTTCTCGATTCCATTCTCTTAATGGACCAAACCTTGTTTTGGTCAGGGATGGAAATATCCTCTTCCAATCAGCGAGAACATGGCTTGCGTTGCCAGAAACTTGGAAGCAGACATGGAAGCAACTGGGGGCGAGGGGGAAGACAGAGCCACAATGAGGACACAGAACAGCCCTTTGCCGAAACAGTATAACTCCTCACTGTTTCCTTTTGAGCTCAGCAGGGCTAATTTCCGTGGTTTCTAGGACACCACGCCCAGCAAGAGAGATTCCAACCTGAATATGAAGACACAGGAAGTCGAAGAGGGACTTGTTGGAGGGAAGAAGTTGTTTTTAATGTTCCCTGGCAGTTCCTCGTCAAATGGATATTGGTTCTGGGATCAACCTCAAGACAGGGTGGCATGGGTTGGAGGAGCACCTACACGAGAGATTTAGAACACCAGTTTCCCCATATCACTGAGCTCCTCAGTGCTGCCGGAGAACCCTGTAGAACAGAGACCTTGTTCTCCTCCTCTTCAGAGCCAAGCTCACTGAGCCGTGAACTCAGATTCCCCCTCCATCCCTCCCCCCACACCCCACGTAACTTTTCCCAGCTTCTATCCATGGCTGGGTTTGTGCTCTTTAAAGGGCAGAAAAATTCCCTCCCATGGATGTTTCAGCAGAAAGCGTTTGATCCAGATCACTTGACCTCGTGTGGCCATCTTCCACGCGTTTGTGATGACACTGAACACGCTGAGCCAAACCCAGAGGCCCCTTAACTCAGGCAAAGCCTCCCACTGGCCCCAATGGGTGGCTTGCCTGAGTAAAGACTGAGAAAGAAAACAACTCAGTCAGGTCTTTCACTTATTTTACTGGGAGCAGAGGGCACTCAAAGCCTGCCAGGATTTGGCCCACTGAGTGTTTTAACGGAAGACGGGCTCTAAGCTCACCCTGACGATAACTGAATCAGTTATTTAGGGTGCCTTCCATGAGCTTGATTTGCTAGGTTCAGGCACTGGGGATGCTGGGTGTGAGGGTCCCAACTTGGAGGTTTCAGTGTACAGAGGCGCATTCAAACCCCCTTTCCAGGTGTGGTTCATAGTGGAGGTTCCCACACACACATGCCTCCAGGTCTCAGGTTCAGATTTAGCCCAACGCGATACTCGGTAGTCAGAAGTCACTCAGGGCACGTCTAGGGTGCAGATGGAAGTGCGCCTGCCAGCCTGGGCAGGCGAACATGTGCTCGCTCTGCTCCAGCTAGTGCACTAAAAACCAGTGTAAATGGCACGGTAAAGCAGCAATGAGTACAAGCTCGTCTCAACCCCTGGGTCGCGATGCAACCAGCACACTACTGTTCTTAGCTCCTGCTAGTGTGAGCCCAGCTAGCACGTCTGCCTCGGCTGGGAGGCTCGCTCCGGCAAGGTTGACCAGATGTCCTGATTTTATAGGGACAGTCCTGATATTCGGGGCTCTGTCTTATACAGGCGCCCATTACCCCCCACCCCAATTTTTCACACTCGCTCTCTGGTCACCCTCAGGTGCATTTGAAAAAGCCGCCCAAGTGTTTAATAGTGCAAAATGGCCAGCACCAAAAAGTGAGGGTGCAAAGCCAGAAGCTGGTGTCCGGAAACACCAGTGTGGGTTTAGTTGCACACTGATGGTTTTGACTGAATATCACTTGGAAGTTTTGGGATTCATCTGAACAGAGTGAGAGGAAGCAGAGATGGGCCCAAAACGGCATCCCAACCCCCTCCACGCTTTCGAGGGTTAGGAACCCACTTCTGAAGTTGGAGGCTCGGTCCCATCTCTCACGGGGTGGAAGTTGAGTGGGACTCAGTAGGTCCACTCTCAAAGCCGGTGCCTTTACAAACCCCGGTGACAAATAAATGAGGCTGTTGCATCCCACTCCTGCTCCCAGCTTTGAAAGTGTCCCTCTGGTATCACCAAATAATTTGTTCAGATTGCCCTCCTCCTCCTCCTCTTCCCCCCTGTAGCCTTCTTACCCAGTGAGCCTTGAGAAACACACCTCCCCTACTCCATGACGACTAGGGACACCACACCCTCCCTTGGGAAAGCTGCACATCCCTGCCCAAAAAGGGAAGGGGAAGCCTAATGCGGGAACATGGTACAAGGCAGCCTCTGCCGACGTCTTCAGAGCAATAGCGCCAGGGCTGGGGAAGACTTTGAGGGAACGTGGGTCACGTGGTGAAGCTTGGCTGGATGCACATTTGCAGCAAGGCGCTCTGAGCGACAAGCCCCCTGTTAGCCTCCGCTGGGACTTGAAGGCTCCTTCTCATACCTGATGGCCTGGCTTCCAGCCTCCACTCCTGCACTGCGTGCGGCTTGTGGGAAGCTTAGCTGAAAGGCAAGGCAGCTGGGCTGTAAATCTAGGGTCATTCCAAGCCAGGGAGCTCCGCTCAGTTCATGGCAAAGCAAGAAAGTTTGCAGATCAAGTTGTAGCAACAAGGGTCTGACTTTCCCAGTGACTGTGACAACGCTTGCATAGAGAAATGTATTTCTACGTAGGCTCAAGTGTGGGTTGGGGTCCTCGTGAGTGGGTGGGGGGGATGTGTGTCTTCACAGACAAGCCTCACTCCTCGTCCTTTCCCCCAGGCTGCGAACGGCTCGTTGTCACAGCATGTCAGCATCCTCCATGCTGAAGCTGCTCCTGCGACTGCTGGCCTTGGAGGCCTCAGGGGACATGGCGGAGAACAAGGGGTCAGAAGCCAGAGGTAACATGGTGTCCTCCATCAGCATCAAGTCCAGCTCCTTCTTGGATAAAGAGGGGAAAGAGACATTGTGGCTGGGGTCCAGCTGGTCGCGGAACCCTCTGGAGCCATCGTCAAAGCTCAGGCCGTGGGTAAAGTCCAGCTGGTAGGGAGACGGAGGTAGCAACGGCAGCTGCTGCTGCGTCTCCTGGTCTGGAGGTAGCTGGGGCTGCTGAGGCTCCATCGACCCGTCCTCTCCAGTCGCTTCTTGCTTCACGACCTGCTGAACTAGTTCTGCCATGTTCACGCCGGAGGGCGAGGCGGCAGGCAGCCCATGGAGGCGCGCCTGCATCTCCAACTCCTGTAGGACAGAGCACACAAACCAGGAGTCCTTACGAGGGGCACCAACACCACCATAACAGGGAGCAGGAGGGAGCCAAGATGGTCTCGCCCCACTAACTGCTCTGTGGGGAACCCTCCCCCAGCCTGAAAGCTGAACTGACACAATCCAGCAGCCAGAAACAATGGGTGAAAGGCACCAGGGTCATGTTAAGGACCAGAGGGTTGACAAAGTGCAGACGCTACAGGCCAAGACTGTCCGAAGCAACTGATGATTTTGGGCCCCCAACTTGAGAAGCCTTCAAGGGGCCTGATTTTCAGACAGGGCTGAGCACCTGCCCCTCTGAAAATCAGGACCGTTCCAGATGTCTTAAGTCAGGCACTTTTGACCACCTTGGCCCTGGCCGCCACCCACTCCAAGAAGGCAAATAAGAACCACGGCTCCCAGAAGCCCTAACAGCATTTTTGTGGTTACTCCCACCTCTCCCCATGGCCACTAAGCATGGTTCATTTCAAATCCTCAAGCAGCTCCACCCCTTTCGAACATCCTTCTCAGGGGACTGAACTGGTGACAAGGCCAGATGGAAAAGGCAGACAGACAGACAGGGGCCTTGGGAGAGGGGTGAAGAGATTCCAAGAGAGACAGCGGAAGAGAAAGATAGCAAACTACACAAAGACAGGGGATGCCCAGGGAAATAAAGAAGGAGGAAGAGGCAAAGAAGAAAACAGCAATTCAAACTTTAATCCATAAAGTCCCCAGTCCCTGCCAGGTTTTCTATTTCGTAGGCTGAATTCCAGTGATCAGCGACCCAAGGATAAGGTGAGGCGGACATTGCAGGCTCAGTGCTTTAGTGCAAGCAGGCTGCTCGCTAACCTACATGAAATCCCTGGCTAAAGCTGGCGTCAGCATCCCTATCCAGGTAGCACCAGGTACCATAAACCCTAGGTCAATCTTTCCAAACCTGGCGGCCTAGTGAGCCTCCTAAATCCACACTGAGGCTCCTAAAAACCTCTCTTTAGGTGCCCAGAGATGGATTTGGAGCCTGCCATTAGCAAATAGGTTTGAAAGTGTTAGCCCAAGTGCCACAGCCTGGGAAGCACAGGCCTCCCCACGGCAGGGACAGCTACAAACACAGCAAGCCTGGCTCCCACGCGAACGCCAAGAGTTGCAAGTGTTCCTTGTTTTGAATGGAAGCACTCCCAAACTAGCTCGTCCCTGCCACTGGTGGGAACCGGTCAGCTGCAAGCGGAGGGCCTGATCTGCAAAGCAGCACTCACAAGTCAATGGAAATGGCCCAGGTGAGGAAGAGGGTAGGCAGGAGCAGGCCCCTAAAGGACCTGCATGTCTGCAATAAGTAAGCTGTGCAAACAGCATTGCTAGGGGCCCGATGCAAAGCCCACTGAAGTCAATGGGAACCTAGCCAGAGACTTCACTAGTTTTGGCCCAGTGTGTGCATGGAGCATCTCAAAGGGGCAGAAATGAATCTCAGGTGATGCCAGTGAGAGTCTGGACGGACTCCATTTAGGTCAATGAAGATGCTCTAATTTCACAGCCTTAAGGGAGAACAGAATCTTGCCCAGACCCCCTGTGAAGGGGCAGGAACAAGATTTGAGCCCCTGAAGGTGTTTTAAGGTACGTCTACACCAAGAAAAAAACCCAAAACCTGTGGCACCTAGTCTCAGAGTCCGGGTCAACGGCATCAGACTCGCGGAGCTAAAGATAGCAGTGTAGGTCAGGCTGGAGCCTGCCCTCCAATGCCCTTTCCTGCACAGGGTTTCAGAGCCTAAGACTGCATGGCTACACTGCAATTTTTAGCATGCAGCTCTAGCCACGTGAGCCCAAGTCAACTGACCCAGGTGACCCATGGCCGTGTCGTGGGTCTCTTATTACAGTGTGGATACATCCTCAGGCTGGGTTAGAATGGAGGGACAGGGGGAAGATGGGAACACACCTGGATACGGATCAATAACTGCTTATTCGTCATTTCCAGACGCCGAGAGTGATTCTCCAGATCCCGTGACCTCTGCAGGTCCTTCTGCATCCTCCTGATGTAATCAACCGAGGCCTTCAGGATCGTCCCTTTGTTCCAGCGAACATCTCTAGGGTACCACATGGGAGAAGTCATTACAATCTGTGCTGTTAGCTCCTTCTAACCAACTCCAAGGCCCGGACAAGTTCTAACGAGCACTGCTGTACTGAAATGCCTCTCTGCAAATGTAATGCCCTGAATTACCTCCTGGACACACTCATGTAGGGAATGGCACTGGCCTGGGTCAATACACACACGCCATTATCCCAGCCTCTGAAAACACCAAGCACCAGACTCCTAGGGAATCCGATGTGGGACCAGACACTGACACCCGACCGGCTAGTATCAAAGCAGTTGCCCAGCTGGAAGATCAGATGAAGGAATGAAAATTCTCAATGTGTGAAACAGAATCTGGCTCAGCACTGGAACAACCCGTTATTAGGAAACAGCAGACAATCATCTACATCTAGTCCATCCCTGGCCAGAGCAGGCTTGATCTCCACAGTAAATTTTCAGGTGCCTTGTCCAGTCAAGTTTTACAGGTCAAACAACGGGACTCCCACTGTTTCTCCGGGACAAACACTCAACAGTTGCAATTAGAAAGTTTTCTCCTGATCTACAGAATAAGGTTCATCCCCCAGGGCCACACCATTTGGACCATCCTTAACAATTCCTCTGCCACGCACCATCAAATCCACGTGGGATATGTAAGACAAGGCGACTTGTACCGCTTGCAGTGATACTTACAGATCATTGGCTTTTGGGATCAGCATTCCAAGTTCTTTGATGCGATCGTTGATGTTAAACCTTCGTCTTCTCTCAACTAAAGAGAGGGAAGGGAAAGAGAGAGTTGGAAACTGACCCACGTTTAGGAATTTGGGACCAGCCTCAACTCTCTGCAGCCTGTACCACACTCAGTCCCCACTGTCCCCAACCTGGATTATGGAAATCACCAAGTTCCCCAGAGAGATTCTCGTCCCTTGTTCTCCTTACCCAGCTTTGGACCGAGGGACTAGGAGAGCCATTCAGAAGCTGGCCTGTCCTCGTCACCCAAACATGCATCCTTCAATTCTGGAGGACTGCAGTTTACATGTGATCGACTTCACAGGCACAGGGCAGTCAGAGGTGGGGTGGCAAAAGTCTAGATGGGGAAACATTCAGTGGGCGAGGGACAGTTTAGAGAGGAGGGTGGGTTGCAAGAGCTGTTGGGAGAGATGGGGTAGTGTAGAGCCATATTGGATGGGAGAGAAGTGGTTGAAGGTAGCATGCGGTGTCATAGGAGGTACTGGGTATGACAAGGGGGCTTGGAGGTGGGGTGGGAGAGACTTAGGATGCTATTTAGCATAGGAAGTTATTGAGACCAAGAGCTTAGCACTATTCAAACAAAGGATGAGACATTTTGATGGAGAAAGAGAACATTAGAGTTACATTAGACATGGTACCAATATCTATGGGATACAAACCCTCATATTTCAGGCCGCAAGCTAGTGGTGAGGGCCTGACAGTGCTCATGAAGAAACTTCCCTCTGAACAGGTTATCCCATAACTGTCCAGAAGATACTGTCTGATCTTACTTCGATTGTAAGACCTTTGTGGCAAGAACTGTCTCTTTGTTCTATATGTACAGCCCCTAGCGCAATGGGGGCTTGGTCCATGGCTAGGGACCTGAGGCACTACTGCAATAAAAATAAAATAATCACAATAATGAGGTTTCTTTTACTTTCCTCTGAAGCATCTGGGACTGGCCATTGTCAGCCAGGATACTGGGTTAGGTGGAGCTCTGCTCGGAGATGCTGTGGGGATCCCTGTATGCCATGCACAAGAGGTGCGAGGTGGAATGGGCTGTTCAGACAGATGAGCAGAATGAAGGCAGAGTGAAAGGGAAACCAGCGATACAGACAGAGGTGCCTCCAGGAAAAGAATGGGGGTTGGGCTGAAGGGAACTAGGGCAGGAGACCCAGCCATACAGCTAGAATGAACCATCCACTCACTCAGGTTGTGATTGTCCTTCTTCTGACGCTCTTTAGCCAAGGCACGACTCTCGGCATCTACAAGAAAGACCCAAGAGGTCACACCATGCTCGTTACAAAGCTGTGTTTTCTCCCCACCTCTCCCAGCATCACTCAGTACGTAACGTCAAACAGAGTGGGCAGGATTCTGTTTGACCCGCACCCCGCGTAACCCTCGCTACCATCAGTGGCACGAGCATTGATGCAGGATTTGGCCCGACCTGACAGACACGGACACACACATAAGCTGCAGTCAGAACTCACATGCGTTACCTGTCAGGTCTCTCTTCTGAGTGAGGTCGGCAGGGCATGAACTGCTGGTGACAGCCACCAGGGAGGCCGTCAGCTGGGGGTCACCACTATATACATTCATATGACTGCTGGACATTGGAAGCTGAAAAACAAGGAAGCACATGATTAGTATGGTTCTCATCTAGGAGGAGGAGGAGCGGGAGATGGGATCAGGGGGTTAGAAAGCTGGCTCAGGGCTGGCTCTCCAGTAAGATTCCAAATCACAAGGCCTGGCATGAAGGGCACCACAATCAGTTGAGCATGCAACTGGGAGCTGGAAACTGCTGGTTTCTACTCCCCTGCTCTGCCACTGACTCTCTGTGGGACCTTAGGTGAGTCACTTCACCCCTCTGTGCCTCGGTTTCCCTATGTGCAAAATGAGGACAAGGCTACTGACCTAATTCACGAGGGGCAGGGCAGTGATGGCTTAGACACTGAATCCATCAAGCTGAGATTTTCTAAGGGAGGAATTGACTTTCACTGGGCACTAGGCTCTAACTCCTAGCTCTAACTCTAAGCCCCACTGAAAATCCCAGCTATAAACATTGACAAAGCGCTAAGTAGCCTCATTGCCGCATGATACGTTCTCACGGTGGGACGCTAAGTGATGGAAAGGGAGGAGGGTGTTAAAAATCAATCAATCAATCTTCACCTTGCTATGGTGCCTTCCATCCAGTGACAGAATCTCAAAGCACAATCAAGAAAGCCTCACCATACACCCTGGGAGTTAGATATCCTTAGCCCTATTTTACAGATGGCAACACTGAGAGGTAAATGGACTCGCTCATGGACGTGCAGTGGCTGAATCAAGAACTGAAACCAAGACTCCCAATTCCCCTGCTCTAATCACCAGACTGCAATCCTCACAGTCAGGCCAAAAGTTCAAGTGATAGCAGCCTGTGCTGGGAGTTCAGGCCTCAAACCCTGCTGAGTTTGCACAATGGGGGACAGTCACGGATCTCTTACGCCCTCCCAGCCCTTTGGGGCTCATTTAAAAGCAGAAGCCTAAGGAAAGGGCTCGTGGAGTCTCATAGCAGTCAGTCATGCTATTGCACTGCTTTCCCCTCCCCCAGCCCACACACAGCAATGCCAACCCGATGTTTACAGTCTCTAGGTCAGGCTGCAGCCAGCTCAGACTAGCACTGGCTGCTGACTTACTAGGCAATAATAATCACTACAACTCTAGGGGCTGGGCAGGGGGAAAGAGGCTCAGCCAGTTTGTACACACCATGACGCATGATTTCCCACTGCCTGCCGGGTGCTGGGCTGACATACAGAGAGCGTGCAGCAAAATCCCAGGTTGCAGCCTTGACAGTCAGTAGCAACAATCAATGCAGGGACACCCCAGTTGCCAGCTTCTCAGTTCCAGCCGAACTCCGCTCAGGGCAGGAATTGAGGGGGCAGGTGGTAAAGGTGGCTTCATGCCTCCAGTGAGCCTCCCTATATTTTGAGACCAGCCAAAAGCCTGTCTGACCCCCAGTGTGAGTTAGAGCAGCCTCAGTAGCTGCTCTAGCTTACACTCTGCTCCCCACAGCCCCGAGGCTAGACCGCACTAGCGTACAGCGGTTACCCTGGCTCTCGGCCATCAATGGAAGGGGCGGAGAGCCACGGACAATCCAGCCCAGAGGGTATGGATAGCACAGTCACCCTCTCCCTGCGGCTACCCTTTGCTGGAAGAGCTCAGTTTCCCCATACCCTCGAGCACATATACTCTAACAGTTCCCTGGCCAGCACATGTCAAATGCAGGCTCCTCCTCTCCCTCCACAGTCAGGATAACAGGCCAGAAGTCAATCAGAGACACTCACGGTGTTGGGCATGTGCATTTCCGGGTTAATATAGCCCAAAACATCATCCAGACGCATGATGTCATCAATGACCTCGTCTATCTGGAAGAGAAAGTTGCATTCTGACAAAGCACACGGCTGGAGATGCAGGGTCACTGGGCAAAAACAAGACAGCTGAGGGTTTCCTCAGTTCCATGGTTTCATTTTTGATGCTATGAGCTGCCTTGTCCATGAAATGCGCTACATCTAGCTAAATATTTATATCCTATGTCCCACCGTGCCTCCTGCTGGGAAATCCCAGCTCTCCGCTCTGCTCCTTATAGCGCCTCCTGCTGAGAGAAGCCAGGACTGGAGAGATCCTGATCACATGCCACTTTTAAATCCTTCACTTCCTCTCCCCTATTCCATCCTGCTGCTCTATAAAGCCAAGCAATTTCCTTACCTCCCTCTCCGGGTTGGAGCTGATGTTGAGCATGGCCATGGGGCTGTTGGGAGCGCTGTTGCCAGCTGAAGAGGACATGACATGGCCGGGCCGGACGCCCGGGGAGGCAGCCGGGGGAGGCTTTGGAGAGTGCCGGACGGGGCTGATGTGAGAAGCAAACTTATTCCCGTAGGTTTCAGAGATATACTCCTGGACCTTCTTGTCCCGTGACTTCTGCAGATGATACGTGGTGGGGTTCTCCAGGTACGACTGAACCTAAAAATCCACACACACCCCAGGCAGGGAAAAACTATTAGAGCTCTCAACACGACCAAGACTCCCTCCCCGCCCCCTCCCTCCGCCCCCCAAGGAGAGAAGAAAACAAACTAATCTGTACTGTACCTTTAAGACCTCTCCCGGCACGGACGGCGCGGACTGGAATTGGACTGGAGTGTTGATGGCAGGCGTGGGGGCCAGCGGCATCTGCTGCTGCATGTAATGCATCACCGCTTGCTGTTGCAGCCGCTCCCTCTGTTCCTCCTGCTGCGCTTGCTCCCGCATAAGCTGCATCCGCAGGCCGATGCGCGATGCCATGGCGCTCGCGTGGGGCGGGTCACAGCTTCTCCTGAGAGACATGGGATGGGTTGGACCATAGCAAAGGCTGCAACAGGATTAAGTCAAGCCCGAGGGCCCTGGCTCTAATGGCAGCACTGTTGGGGAGTGCCCGCCACCTCGCTATCTCAACATGCTTCATGTGGGGAGGGTCAGTAACGTTATCCCCATTTTACAGATGGGGAAATGGAGGCACAGGGTGGCAAAGGGGCTTGCCCGTGGCCACACAGAGTATTTTCTCTGTATGACAGCTGCATCCACAGCCAAGTGACCTCTACCACCAGTGGCCTCCCAGCCAATATCAGGGCCCCAGCATGCCGTAAGGATGGCAAGACCAGTCCTACCAAGGCAGCACCAGCCTGTGATTATTTCCTGGGCGATCACTCTGAAAAGCATGATATAAGGGTTAACTATGAGGCGATTAGGTGCCGTACGTACATGTAATGAAGTCCCTGCCCGGAAGAGCTTACAATCGAAATACAGGAGGCAAAGAAAGGATTATTATCCCTGCTTTATACCTGGGGAACTGCAGCACAGAAAGGCTGAGTGACCTGCAGCCAGCCTGTGGTCGTGCAGAGAACTGAAGCGTGGGAAGTCAGTTCTCTAACCAGTAAGTCAAACTGCCTCCCCGAGTCAGGGAAAGACCCTCTGACTCCCAGTCAACACCGAGCAGAACAGGGCTTTGATCTTTGGGCCCCACCACAAAAACAGCCACAGCAATAAACCAACCCCCAAAAGAAAGGATACACAAAAAAGCCATCAACTGTTTCCCATGACAGCTTCAAAGACTTCATCTTTCCACCTTCGGCCACTGATCTGGAATGACCCACTGCAGGCACTCGGAAAAAATAATCATCCCTAGCTCTTATCTGGCACTTTTCATCGGGAGAGCTCAAAGCACTTTATAAAGGAGGTCACTGAACAGATGGGAAAACCGAGGCACTGGGCAAGGATGAGACTTTGCCCAAACTCACCCAGCAGGCCAGTGGTAGAGTTGGAAATAGAACCAAGTCTCCTGAGTCCTCGCCCAGTCCTCTAACCACTAGGCCATGCTGCACACTCCCCATTCATTGAGCCAAACCCCTTTCCCAGGCATGCTGCCATATCAAGGGACTAAAGGCACAACCCTCTGTTAGGGAAGGGGGCAAGATGAGTTTCCAGTGATTCAGGCCTGATGTTCTCCACCCCACAGACCTCAGTAGGCCATCTTCTGCTGAGGGACTGGAAATTCAGCCAAGATTTTCAAAAATAGGGGGTCTAAAATGGGGTGCCCTGGTCGATGTTTTGGCACCTAGATAAGCAAGGCCTGATTTTCAGAAATGCCAGGTACCAGAAGGTCCTGTGGGTATAGCAGTTGCACACAGCCATGTATCTAATTGGAGCCAAGGAGCCTCAGTTCAGGCCCCTCCATTTCTTTTCAATCTTCGCCTTCGTCTCTCTGGTCCTGCTGTGCCTGGACTAGCTGCTGTCCCTGCTCTGGGAGAGGAAATGATTCAGGTCTGGACCCTGCCTGTACTCGGATGCCAGGCTCTTTCATGACAAACTTGCTCTGCCTTGCTGTCAAACCAGGGCCAGTTGGCAGAAGGAGAGAGAGCTCCTAAATCAGTGCCAGAGCCCGATAAGAGGGAGAGAAAGCAGGTGGGTGAGGAAAACCAGCAATGCATGGAATCTGTGCAGTGAGGCGAATCCAGACCCCAGCGCTCACTGACCTTTATGTGCTGGTTTCTCCTGGAAGCTGGAAATCGATGCCCTGGATTGAGGCACTTCCCAGCTCTGAGACAAGGGACCAGTCAGGGTTCCAGACATTCTGCCACCCACCCAGACCCAAGACTGCCTCTTATTTCCATGGAGAGCTTCCAGGTGATGTCTCTATTGCTACAAGAGAAACCCAAGGGCCAGGAACCCAGCTGTGGACAGAGATGGGAGCACAAAGGGAAAGACAAGAGAATAGGCCAGATAGAGAAGAAAGAGGGTAATAGCCAGTTAGTTATTCCTGGATTTCAAGGGAAATCCCACTGATGTGCTGCTGGTGGGAGCCAAAAGAAAGATCTGTGAAGAGAAAGAACATGTTAAAAAAAAAAAAAAGAGACAGCCAGAGAGAGAAAGAGGAAGAAAGAAAAGAGCCTTGCACAGGAAGTGGAATGACACGGTTTAACTGTCTCTTAACTTACCTAGCATGACCCACACCCAGTCTCCCTTGTCCCCTAAACCTATAGGTGCTCCCCATAGCCTGGTGGTGGGGAGACTGTCAGGAGTCATTAAACTCAAAGCCAGAGTGAAACCTTAACTCTCGAACAATGCAAACAATGCCCCTTCTGTCCCACGAGCCTGCATGCAAGAGTCTGGAGGCGAGAGAAGCAGCACGAGGTGACGGAGAGCGACGCAGCCAGACACAGACAGGGCTCTTGTTTGTCCATACAAAGGGGATGGGAGCCCATTCAGGTGCAGTGAAGCAGCGCTAAAGAAGCCTGCAGAGACGAGGGGGCTCCAGAGGGAGCCGCCCTACCTGGGACATACTGTTTCTAAAGTACTGAGTGTTACGGACTCATCCATCCTGCGAGGCAGGTACAGCTCAGTGTCATGATGCCCCTTTTTACAGATGGGGACAGGGAGTCAGTGCGAATAGAACCCAGGAGTCCTGACTTGTGACCATCTGCTCTATCCCCTGGACAAGTGTTGCCCAAATGATGGGTCGCAGGAAGGTTCTAAGTGGGTCACCACATCTAGGGCCACATTAACCCATCACGGGTCCTTTGCCTAAGCAAACACACACTTCCCCTGGCCCGAGACAGAAGGGAGTTCCTGCAGGGGTGGGGTGAGCCCACCATGAGCCCAGAGCTGGGCCCAGCCCTGCGGGATAGGAGCTGCTTGGTCAGTACAGGCAAGGCTCACGGGGGTTAGGGTTGCAGTGCCGGGGCAGAGGGTGCATATACATAATGGTGGGTCGCAAAAATAAATAAGACAAAATGCAGTTGGCGATTCACCTTAGGAAAAGGTTTGGGAACCACCCGCCCATGCAGACTGTGGAACTGAACCCAGGGGTCTTGGCTCCTGGTCCACTACTCTAATTGCTAGCTCACACTGGGATAGCCCATCATCCGTAACTTGGGGAAGATGGCAGGTGGTTCAAAGCAGAATTTTTTCTCCAGACTGCTGTGTCTGAAGACATGTGGGGGGGAAGGAGAGATATTCGAGATGAAGAAGGCAGGAGGTACACAATTGAGCAGCAGGAGCAGTGAATCTGGCAATGCAGGGAAGGGATGTTTCCTTGTATATTTAGGGAACTGAGAGTGATCAGGGGGACTGGGTTACCTTTCCCACTCAGTCAAGACATGCCACTCCCATGAATTGTGACACTACAAAGTGTCCTACAGAGGTCAATCCAGAGCAGAAAAGTGCAGCAGGGGGAGAGGACTTGTCTAACTCCCATCCCGCACAGTCCTGTTAGTGATTCACTTCTGACCCTTGGCCTCTCTCTCTTCTCCAAGGTTTGCACACTCAGACACCTGGGAACCCATGATGTTGATAAACAAGGAAGCAAGAGGAAGGATGATCTTGTGTTTAAGGCACAGGCCTCAGAACCAAGACTCCTGAGCTCCATCCGTGGCTTTCGGACCATGAGCAAGTCCCCTAATTTCTCTGCGTCTCAGTCTCCCTGTTTGCAAAGCGAGGCTATTGTTACCTATCTGATGTGGAAGGTGTGGGGTACATGGAGACACTGTCTGAACAGATGTATTGTTTTTAAATACCATACCTTTACTCCCCAATACATACACACACGCGCACACAGACACAAACCAGTCAACAGCTCTGGATAATAATCCAGTCTAGAGGCCCAGACAATGACTTGCATTTACTGAGTGTTTTTTTCATTCAGAAAGGTCCCAAAGCATTTTAATATTCTAGTGGGTGGGATCACCTCAAAACTGGGCTCAGGATGGAAACTGCCTCATCCCTTTCACTACAGGGTTGCTGCTGTATTAGCAATCAATTCTCACACCACTAAAATGCAGTCACCTCTGAGGCAAAATACAGGGTGCTGTTTAAGTATGCCCAATAACAGCACTGCATTTGGGAGAAAATGGGTCCAGTGAAAACTGCAAAGAGTATTCGTGGAGGCAGGAGGCAATTAGCTCAAAGGGAATTTGTCCAGGAGACCTGCGCTAACATCACAACACTTGCAAAAAGAGCCATACACGCCCCGGGGGCGATAGGGCACTGGACTACAAATCAAGAGACAGTGGGACATTCTCAGCGACGTCAAGGCCCTTCTGTGCTACTCTGCCAGCATAGAGGGGCTTTACGTGTGTGGAAAGGGCCCCTGAGAAAAGACACTGCACGCCCAAGTGTGAGTTAGTGAAAGGGGCTCCATATGGTGGACGCTGCTCCCAGCCCCTGGCATGGGGGTCAGAGGCATGGGCCGAGTGTACTGTGCTATAATTATTCTTTGCTTCCCGTGGTCTGTATGGGACTGGGCAGATCCGTGCACGGTTCCAGAATCCAGGCAGCGCAGAAGTGGCTTAAACCCCCCTTCCCTCCAGCATGAAAATGGAGTAACTGAGAATCAAGTTCTAGGGCCTGGGCCTGGCACAGCCACTGACTTATGGTGTGACCTCAGCCAGGCAAGTCACAGCCCCACTTCGTGCCTCAGTGTCTCCCACTGGTAAAATAGGAACAATGATACTGACCCACTGTTATAAGAAACCCGAGATCTATGGGGGAAGAGAGAGATGCATCATCATCATCATCTATCCTTGGCTCTTATATGGCCCTCAGCGGGGCAGTATCTAAGCACCTCAGAATCTTTTTTTTAAAGCATTTCTCCTCACAACCCTCCGTGAGGCAGGGCAGTGCAGATGGGTAAACTGAAGCACAGAGATGCTAGGTGACTTGCCCAAACTCTCACAGGAGTTTCCTGTGGCAGAGGAGAAAACAGAACCAAGGTCTCCCAAGTCCCGGTTCAGTACCCTAACCACTGGGCCATCCTCCCTCTCTCATGACCTACAGGTGGGC